TTGTACAGTTTGTTCAAGAATGTTCCTGCGATATTGTGTCAAAGACAGACCGCGAGCGGTAGCATAGTGGCAATGTGAGCTGATAGAGAACCTACCTAAGAAGATAGGGTATCGGGGAATCAATTGTCAGTGAGCCTTTCTACGATGAAAATAGCTTCTTTTTTTCTGGCCCAATCATGGCACTTATTTCATCTAGAAGGTTTTAAAAAGTTTATATTGTGAGATCACCATCCATCACCATCGAATGTACGGAAGTCCATGCGCAGGAGAAAGCAAAGCTATTAGTCATGTTCCCTCCCTCCCTCCATCAACCCAGTCCGGTCTTGTCGATGGGCAAATAGGAGAATGCCTAACTGCAAACAAACGTCAGCGTGGAAATTGAAGCCTCTCATCACGAATTCAATAACTTCATTTGTTTGTCGTTGGTTCATGTTGGCCGTTGCGCTGAAATAGATGGGTGGAGAGCCAATTACTGATAGACCATATCCGTATGCAAACAAATACGTTCTGGCTCTGTTACTGACTCTTACTGGGCCAATTACTGTAATAATTTAGATGAGAATACAGACTCTAAGAAATTTTGGAAACTATTTAAAAGAATAGGCCGACCCAATCCAAGCTCCTCCAAACCCCTTCACAATGAAACCACCATCCTAAGTACCTCTCAGGGAAAGGCTGAAGCTTTTGCATTCACCCTCGGATCCACAATATTCCGACCCCCTTCCTCCCTCCCACCTAATGCAACCGATGAGGAAGAAGAACTAGACATCACTATCAGCTCTTACTCGCCCTCTAAAGAATGTATTGATGACCCACCCCACCAAGTCCTCAGCATGATAAATATAGAGAAAATAATTATTGGAGAGTGGTAGGATGATTTTAAAGTCCCTGGACTTGATGGCATCCATTATTAATCGTTGCAAAAAGGAGCATACAAGCTCTACGAACTGCTAGCAATAATCTATAATTCATGTTTATTCCATTTCCACTTCCCCCGAGTGGAAAACTTATCGTAGTAATGGTTCCTAAACCGGATGAAGACCTAACTAAACCCTCCTTTGGGCCCATTGGCCTGCTCGATACTCTTGACAAAATCATGGAGCGACTAATAACAGGCAGATTAACCCAGCACTTATAAAATAATGGCATCCTCCACCGCGCACAGGCTGGTTTCAGGAGAGTTAAATGGACAACGGACCAACTTGAACGTCTGCAGTACGACATCCTCACTGCTGCTAACATCAACTACCCCCTACTTGCCCTTTTCTTTGACAGAAAAAGCGTTTGACAGGGTTTGGCATCAGGGACTCAACTACAACCTCCCCCATGATCTAGTCTCTTTGAATCGTACACTAATCGAAGAACATTCAGATTTGAGAATGTAATTCCTAAGCTAATACAAATTACAGCTGGAGTCTCCCAAGGTTCTATGCAGCCTGGGCCGACTATTCCGATTCGACCCTCTCAAGGCTCAACATCATAGAGACGGCGGCGAACAAATACACTCTTAGAACCCCTCCTACATATCTAATCAGTACTGCTATAACCAAGCTGGAATTACACTCCTACCCCCATGTGCATCCGGTCTGGTCCTCAAGTACCTCGACGATGAAACCAAACCTGGCAAAATTAAAACAATCAGAAAAAGCAGTAACAAATGACTACAATTGAACAAACGCAAGCACATTCACTGTTGACAACCAGAGCCCCTAATCCCACACCACCCTTATAAACCCACAGCCAACAAGAACGGACACTCAAAGCCCTACAAGACATCACAGCACAGCAGGACCTTCTGCAGATAAGTCATCCTTCCATCTATATCTCACATTGCCTAACTGCCCGCTTCCCCCCACTCACACATCACCCCTCAACTGTCTCTATCTTCCAACAATTATTAACCACTAACCCTAGTAACTAATAATGCATAACCATCCATCCATATAATAGTATATTATGCTAATGTGAATAATAGTTTATGGGGCTGATGGCCTATGGGCTTTTGCCTATTCGAGTCATAGGCTAGGCGCGTTTCATGGTTCATCCATGCAGCTGATAGGCCTAGAAGCCTGTGCCTTTCCAGGACATGGGATAAACGGGACACATAATCACTTAGCGTACCGCTCGCGGAGGTCTCCGTTATTGAATCCTCTCGCGAGTCATTTTGCCTAGCCTTTGGCCGAAAAAGTCACGGCCTTGTAGACGTCGAGCTTCAGGCTAAGGTAACTGAGGCTTAAGCCAGAGCGACGGATCGACTGGGTACATCGAATGGTCTGGTACGCATTGTGTCAAATAGTCAGGTGGAATGCGATGAGATGTGCCCGCTGAGGAGAAGCAGCGAAGTAGCGTAGGTCTGCATTGTCCAGTGGGTAACATGATGTAAATGCCCAGAGAATAGCAGAGTGGAGGCAGTGTAGGGCTGCGTTTGATGAAGCTAAAAATGGAAAGAGAGGAACGGGCAGGCAGAGGAAAGGAGAAAGTGGAAAATGAAACAGAATCAAAGACTCTGCAGAACGGCAAAGAGAAAATCTTGAAAAAATGTGGATTTGATGTCGAATGTAGTACTCCGTCTCTTCGAGGAGGAGATGAGAGATGGCCCAACGTTTGCGCAGTATGTCATCTATTTCTGTACAGGCGAACTGTAGGACTTTTTAATATTGTTCAGTTAAAGGCTGATACCGACCTTAGCCGAAATCTTCTTGTCACCACATTACTGTCAGATATTAGGCGTGCAATTGCAGATGGTAAAGAATGCATATGCATAACCTCCAACACAAAAGTCGCTGAATTTATCGATCACGTCAGTGGCAAAGTTCCACAAGACGAAGCTTTGCAAAAATTAGGTGTTGGGCTACATCGTCATGCACATTCCAAGGTTTGCAGAAAACAAAGACGTTGCAAGTTTTCCTTCCCAAAATCGCCGTCACTGAAGACGGTGATTGCCAGGGAGCCTGCTACGCCAAAAAAAAATAAAGAGTAGAGGAGGAGGGGGGGAGAAATGAGAAAGTGGAACCCACCCAGGAAATTTTGTCAACCTGCATAGGAATGCTCAGTAGTAAATTGTGTACACACTTCAAAAAGGAATTGGATGATAAGAAACGTAAATTTGGTATGGGCTCAATTAGCTCAATGTTCAATCTCTCCAGATCTGTATCCGGAATGCATTTGCGTCCAAACGCTGTACTTTTGTTGTATTGCGATATTTCTGATTTAATGATTAGTAATTAAAATGCAACAATATTAAAATCACGGAAAGCCACCATGGGCCTCCAATACGTGGCGGATGCACATGCTTGCATTATGTATACTGCATCATATGGCACGAAATCGGAGAAGAGTATGAACGACCTTCTATCCAAGGCAGTAAAAGAAACCATCAAAAGACAATGATTTCAATCACTTGAAAGGGATTGGCAAAGTCTTCCTGACGCAAAGGGAGGTCAGTTCACAGGACGCAGTGTATGAGGTATCTGGGTGGTCTGCTTGCTACCTTAAACTTCAAGAGTAATCGCTTTATTGAAGGATGGTGATGAAAATGTAATCCTTCTGACGATGCAATGCGACCAAATGAACTCATGAACTTGTGTTTGGCAGACTTTTGCTCCCATTATTCCATTGGGAAAGGCAAATCTACAGTATATACAGCCAAGAGAAGGAAGGGGATGAGAATAGCAATGATAAAGACGAACCTGTCGCTATTGAAAGGTGTAACAATAGCTGCACGGGAGAAAACTGATGTTCACGATCGCAGGATACCTGCAGTCATTAGTTATCACAAAGACGAGGATCTGAAACGAAGTGAGGAAGCATACCAGGAGAGCTTCCCGAGAAATACAATTATTATTGAAGTATCCTCGGAGAAGTACTCAAATCATACAGAATCTCTGGACCATCATATGATCGTTTAGAGGAACAAGGACCACCAGAGCATTTCTGGGAAACAATTGCTCCTGCAGCCGAACAGGAGAGAATGGAGGCAACAGAAGAGGGTGTGGAGGAAGACACTCACCCTGGAATAATTCAAGATGATATGCTTTTGTGAATAATAGGCAAGGTCAAGTATATGTGTCAGAATCTTTCATCTGAGATCAACAAGAACTTGATATCACCTAATGAGTACCTTTCAATGATGCGCGGTTTGAATAATAAACAGCTAAATATTATAATGCATCGCAGAGCATGATTGAAGAAATTAATAGTCTCTGCGAAAGATATTAAGCCATCGACTCCGTGTCATCTTTTCATTAGCGGCCCTGGCGGTGTAGAAAGAAGTCATATCAAGTGGTTAAATTTCGAGGCAAAAAATTCCTAGGTTTCTAGAATTTATTAGTGAAGGAAAGTTGCACATAGAACACGACCACTCGTGTCGGAGTTTCGACAGGGCAATCGAGGAAAGATAGGAGGGGTCGTCTCGTTCGCTACCTCTTCGACGCTGTTTTTTCTTTCGAATCGTGTGATAATCCGTTCTAAACGGAGCCTCATGGACAATACTTTCATTTTACTTCATGAACGCTCAAAAAATGCTCATTGGCTAGAGATTTTTTGCTGCATCATCTCAAGGCTAGGATGCAGTGACCAATTCCTACCATGAAAGCTACGCTCAGCCCATTGCCTGGCGAGGCTTCTAGGCTTGGAACAGAGCAGCTCGCATACTGGGATTCTGGGACACCTTGTAAGTGAATGATGAGCATCGGTTGTCGTCAAGTGAAATCGCTTCATATTTAAATTGTTGGTGCTTCCAATTAACCGTAGAAGACGAGTAACTAATTCCTCGTTTTCTTCTGTTTCTTCCGAATTTCTTCGTTTGTAATTTATTTGTGTTCCACCTTGAGAGTAGTCATTTCTTTTCTCCGAAGGAAAGACGCCACTCCATGGAAATAACGAGCTTTCCGAACTTTCTCGTAAAAAGTTTTTCCTAAAGACAGTAGTTTTTTTCTGCGAATAAAAACGCCTGTTGGGGCGAAACCGTAGGAAGTAAAGAGAAAAAGGGCGCGAAGGGATTGCTTCGTGATCAAAATATATATTCTCGTTCATCAGAATAATTAAGGTATAGGAAAATGAAAGTTGGATGTTGTAAGGCGAAAGACCAATGGACCGATGATCGCAGTTCAGATTCCACTCGTTCATCGCCGCATCAAAATCTGCTGCAGTTGCCACTCTTCAGGGATTTGTCCCCCCGGCAACAACGCATTTTCTTCCCCGACCTAAACGACCAAAAATTTGCAACAAAAAATTGCACGCGATTTAAAATTCTTATAACTATCGGAACTCACCAGAGAGGGTCCCGACGACCAGGTCATGATCGTCTGCTCGAGCGAAACTTGCTGCGTCTTCTTGGAGGCGGACATTTTCGTTGCGACCAACTTGACGTAAACGGCCTCCGGCTCCGCTGGACTCTCGGCCACTAAAAGTTCCATGACGAAACATCACCGTTACACGCGAATGATAGCAAATGCCTCCAATTAGTGATATGGAAAGTGACCAATCCCAAAATTCGTATTAAAAAAAAATACAATCCAACCCAACAGTGTAAACCATCGCGAAATGAAATGCTAGATGACATTCAAATAGACTTGATACATTTTAACACCAACGTGGAACCATGCGGAACGCTGGGAAAATCGAAACAGCTAACACGAGTGTCATAGCATCAGTGCTACTTAAAATGAACGCATTCGACCGTCACATTTCACGTCTGCATGCGAATGGCGTGCCCTGTTTCCCAAGTTTTGCCTTTACTACCCACTTACAAAATGATTCGGGCAGGCTGATTTTCTGTCAACTATTTTTTACTTTTCATTTCACAAATAACATTTGTAATCAAATATGGTCGACAACTTCGATATGTGGGCTGACTGCAGACCAAAGCAAGTCGCGATATTACAAACAGATAAAAATTTATTAATTCTCGAAATAACGTCACGTGTTCCAAAATAGTTCGGGCACCACGTCACACGTTCCAAAATGGTTCGGGCATCGGCATTAATACTTCGTGACTTCACCTCTTGACGTGACTAGGGCTTCCGATCGGTCGGGCATACTGGAGACGAGACGGGCGCATCGGTCCGAAGTGATGGCGCCCCAAAATGCCTGCAGGGTTTCCCGTCATCCCTCTTTGGCATCAGAAAGCGACGACCGAGAACCAGTCTTCAAAATCACCCAGATGATCTCGATCGGCGACACGTCTGGACTGCCGACGGGCCGTGGTAGCACCTCCGTCTCTTCGTTTTCGAACCGTCGGCGTGTTATCTTGCCGGTATGACATCGAGGTGTAGTTCTTCCACCGATGGAATCGTGGCATTTCCCCAGATCACGAAGCATTTCTTGCCGTCAACTGCTCCATCGATGAACAGCAGCTGACCGACCCCTTTTTTGTTCGTGCACCCCTGCACTAGCAAGCCATCGGGGAATGAAACCATCGGGCCGAAAAGCCTCGTCCTCCGTAAGAGAACTCTCTTGCGGTGATGCTCCTCCGTACCACATGATTCTAGACTGCCAATAGTCATTTCTTGAACTCTTTGGCCATTCGAATCGCTTCTTCTTCAGTTTTGACATTAACAGTGGCTGTACTTTTGCCTCGAACACGTGACGTTATTTTGAGAGTTAATAACTTTTTATCTGGTAGTAATATCGCGATTTGCTTTGGTCTGCAGTTAGCCCACGTATCGAAGTTGTCGACCATATTGAGGTTCTTTGATTACAAATGTTATTTGTGAAACGAAAAATGAAAAATAATAGTTTACAGAGAAAATAAGCCTGCCCGAATCATTTTGGAAGTGGGTGGTAGACCAGAGCATTAAGCTGGGCCTTGTCGGCTCGGCGGAATTCGATGGACTGTTGCCCGAGCGACCGAGCTTTTCCATCTGCTTTTGGCTAACCCGCAGTCCATACGAGGTCTTCGGGCCGTCTGCATCTTCCCTTCCGCGTGCAAGTGAGGTATTTCAGACGTGGCCCATCGTGTTTCTTAGTTTTGAGGTTGTGTCTCGTTCGAGTTCTCTCTTTACCTACTCGGATGAACTTCTTCCCTTTGTTCTCTCAGAATCGAGTCCTAGTTTTTTCCTCGTGGAACACCGAGTTCGTCATCGCTCGCCGACTCGCGCCGTCTGTTAGGTGATGGGTCGGGCCTCACTCCATCATCACCCATCACTCCGACCCATCATCTTCGATCGCGCAAAATTCCTTTCTTTCCCATTCCGTTTTTTTTGCGTTTTGTATACTAAGTATGTTTTAAGGCCTCCACACTTATCTGCTACACGAGTCTTTCTCTTCCTATTACATGACTTAGAACCCCGATGAAAGATTCCCGTCGACCCCAGTAGGACCGCTCGAGAGTCCATTCTCGACTTTCTACGTCCAAAGACACGAGAAAACGTGGACATACCGCATGCCAGCATGTCCTCGTCCATCACGTAACCCTCGGCGCATTCGCACTGGAAAAGGTCCTCGTTGCACGCGAGATGCTCCGCTCCCTTGCAGTCTGAGTTCTCCGTGCAACCATCCCCGATCCCTCCCACGTTCCCGAACTCTTCCTCTTCCTCGTCCAAGTCTCCTCCCTCTTCCGGCACGTTCGGTGCTGTCGGTCAGTCAAAACGAGTAACACTCGATCCAGAGGTTTAGCATCCAAAGCTGAATAATTAAAAAAAAAGGATGGGGGGAAAATAACTTTTTTCATTCATGAACGTATAGACAATTCGAGATCCGACGTCCGAAGACATTCCGCGACTTCTTCGTGCACACCGAGTTAGGCTGGCACAACCGTGCCGAGCAGAAGAAAAAAAAAGTCCATCTGAATGCATATTTTAAACGTAAATACAATTTTCATACCGCACATGACGATGTCGAAGTCGACCTGCAAGAAGTATCCTTCCTCGCAGCCGCACTTGAAGACGGCCCGGTCGCAGGCGAAGCCGAGGTACCGACGGCAGTCGTCGTCTCGCTCGCAGGGGTCTCCGAACTCTCCGTCGCGGAACGACGTCTTGGGACCTGGGGAAATCCAGACGTTCAAACGACTCGGTTCCGAGGGTCGCCCAGGTTTTGCATATGCGACCGACCGCGCGAAGACGATACCATTCTACCAAGGAGCGCTCGAAAGGCGATCATGACTGACCAAAAATTTCGTGTTCGAAGTTGGTATCATTTTTATTCTCAGGATATCGTACGACGAATGTAAATTCCAATCTAGCTCGTCATGAGTTATGGATCCATCAAGTGACACAAACGTTTACGATGAGGTTCTTACCAGACGAGGCAGAGATAAGCACGAGGAATGGAATTGAAATGCGCAAACAAGTTGGGAGACTTTTCCCCTTCCTCGGTTTTTGAGGCTTTTCATGAAACGCCGAATTCACTTTCGTACCTGATATCATTCGGCAACTTTTAATGCATGGTCTATGTGAAGATCGAAGTGTAATGTCTATTGGAAAAGAGGTCCGGGACTATTTGCCTGGAAAACAATGAGAAAGCCTCTTAAATGGACGTCCATCCAACTTTCCACACCAAATAATTGACTACCGAGGCAATCGACAAAGATTCACATCGCACAACACTGCACAGATGAAAGGAAATCGGTGCCAATCTGATCCGTGCCCCGAATCGTAAAAGTGAATGAGTCGTCCACCGCGAAGTTCTTAATTATAATTTTAAAATTCACTCGGAATATAGAACAAATATCATAAATATTGTTTCCCTGCGTGAATAAACACGGAAACAGCTTGGGTTTGAGCACGGATCGTCCAAGAAGAAATGCGAGTCGTTCGTGCGACCCACACTTCCCAGAGCGATCAAACTGGATTTCGGTCTCAACGCTGGAGACAGTTCAAACATGTTTCGTGTTGTTGATGACGAAAGTGATTGTTTTCCCGTCTGCAGTGGGATGAAAAGCGCATAACTCAAGTTCGAAGAGAAAAGAGACAACGCCGACCTCTTAACTTAGTAAACGGTATTTATAGGGAAATTCTCTTCCCGAATGAAGATTGTGAAACGGCCAAGTCCACCAATGATAGGAAAAAGTAGCCAAAAGTACCCAGAGAGCATTCGTTGAAAGGAACGTTGACGGCGCACCATTTGACGGGAATCCAAAAAGAAATTAACCTTTATAAAAATGTAAAATATGTAACTTCCCACTAGGGAAATCCATCGGAATGCATTTGCAGGCTTGAAAATCCCCAAACTCGATAGAGCGAGGAATACATTATGAGATACCGTATCACCGACGGAAGCTTCAATCCCTGAGAATCCTGATGAATTTACCCAACTAGGTCGTGAAATGTTTTTTTTTTTCGTCTTCTAGACGGAGGAAGATCCTTGCAAACCATGCAAGCTTTCCAAATACACGTGCAGCTTTAGATAGATGTTGAACCACTCGTGCCGATGACGTCACGGAGCATGCATGTTTTTGTGCCGAGTTCCCTGGAGTGCCATCGCGAATGTCGCTATCGCAGGAGCAGACTGAATATCTTCAAGTTCCAACAAGATATCCGTAAAAATAAAAATTCGGCATGAATGAATGATGACGTCGGCGGAAGAGCGGAGCCACATGGAATTTCAGATAACTAGAAAATGATTTTTTTTTTCGAAGGAAACATTCGATGTTAAGAAATGAATCCGACCGACATACAAGCCTCGTCACCCAACAATGATAGCGTTTTTTATTTTCATCACGTGCTACATAGCAACAACATGTAGTTAAGTTAGAAAAAAAAGGAAGATGTCCGATAGTTCTTCGGGCGGAATGAAAAAAAGAATAGGTGAGATACTTTGAACTTTTCGACTCGCATGGATCGACACCACCCGAAGGACTTCATTGAAGTCCAACAAGAGATTCCGTTGCACGTAACCGAGTTCGGACGAATGAAAAACACTTTTCACCACATACATCACGTCGGACGAGAATCACCATTGCACGGTAGGCCGTGTCGGAGAGCAGTCGTCGGCAAGCACGAGAGTAAAGCAAAGAGTTCAAAGTTCACAAAGAAGAAAAGTTGCCTCGAGCACAACCGGTAGATCGAGCACCGGTGACTTTCTCTTCATTCCGCAAGAGTTGCGACCCGGCTTCTTCGCCGGAACCGATCTTCTCGTCGCCGGGATGGAAGTAGAGATAGTAAGCGAGCATGAAGACGATGCCGAGGGCGAAGGCGAGGAAATGCCCCAGGAAGGCCGGTACCGCGTACCACGGCCGGGCGTGGAGGACGCTCGCGAACCACATCGCGACCAGCATCGCGTTCTCCGCGAACGCGAGGGCGTAGAACGCCGCGTACCTCCGCCGCGTCGGCTCGTCCTTCACGTTCAGGTACTGGAACAAGTAGACGAGCGCGACGAGGAGGTCGAAGGACGCCTCCTTGTAGTACGGGAAGACCAACCGCCAGTCGAAGACCGCGACGCGGCGGAAGCACACGGTCGTGTTCACGACGAAGGCCACCCACACCCAACTGACGCCCACGTGCACGACGACGACCACGAACACCCACACTCGGAAGGCCGAGGCGAACAGGCCCAAGGCGAGGACTCGGGCGGCTGAAACGAAATTCCCACCGTCGATGTCGTACTTCCTCGTCCTTCCTCACCCTTCCTCACCCTCCCACGGAAAAAGGAGAAAACTCACTCGGGACGAAAAGGTGCCAGAAGAAGTGAACGAGAGTTCCGCTCCGAGATAAATTCTGCTTAGCCGAGTGGGCGAATCGGGCGGAGCGACTGTAAGCAGACATTGCCCACGACATACTCACCAACGGCAGCACGATCGATCCGACCTGGACGGCAACTACAAACGAGAGAAGAACGTGGAGTTCCCTCGGCAGAACGCCTCTTGCATCTCGATGGGTCGCTCGATTCGGTGCCTCGCTCTTGGAAGTCAAAATAGCCAAGTTTGGCATTATTTAAAGCAAATACTTTGCCAGAAGCTAGGCTTCCTTTATCGGCGAAGAACGAGTCACCGCGAAACCCGATCGCTCTCCACCGACGACCGATTTCGGAAGAACCAGAAGGGGGAGAAGAGAAACGAGTACTCGCTCACCCATGAGCGGGTTTTCGGCCGCGTAGGTGGACCCATGTCTGACGAGAATGTAAAACTGGAGGAGCACCTGCGGCCCCGCATCCACGAATCTCTCCACCAGGCAGAGGAGCCTGGCGTCTGCCTCCTGCCGCAGCATCCGCTCGAACGCCTCCCTCTCGTTCGCCTCCGCGTCCGCCTCCCTCACCGACTTCCCCAGGCCCCGCTTCCGCAGGTAGGCTCGAAACTCGAATCCGTATTCGAGGGCGTGGCCGTACCTATCCGAGGACGCATTCGGTTCGGAGTCGTGCCGCTGCGTCCATTCGTGTCTTCACCCGAACGATCCACCTCGGACGAGGACGTTTCAAGTGATCTCCGATTTTATCAGATACTGGCTCGTATGGGCTTTAATGAGACGACTTCGGAGACGCTCCGATGACGGCCTCGAACCCGAAGAAGAATATATTGCAGTTGTCGTCCTACTATCGAAGATGCACGTCGGGTCGGAACTCGCAGACGATTCGTGCATCAAAACCTGACGACCACCAAAATGACAGTTTACCCCGAACTCGACCGACTTTTTTTTACCGACTCTTAACAAAACGGTACGGGCCGAATCGAGGATCGTTTCGCTTTTGACTTCACTCGTCACACCGATTCTACCGACGCGAGATGCGCCGACCTCGAAGCGATCCCGAGACGTAGAAGCGGACGAAAAGTCCTTCCGTTCCTCTTACCTTCGACGCGAAGAAACCCGCGAGAGGCTCGTTCGAGGACAGCCTACCCGAAGACCGCAGCCGGCCGGAGGAGGTTCCTACCTGAGGACCGGAGCCAGCTGGAGGAGGAGGAAGACGGTCCTTAGGCACCGGTCCCTCCGAGACGCGAGCTCCGTTTCGTCGTCGTCTTTGTACCTTCGGAAGAGAGCAACGGAAGGGGTAGGCTGGAAAACGAAGCTCGACGTAGTTCTAAGCCCGGTTCGAGGATGCACCGAGGTACGAAGCCAAAGCAGGGAGATGCACTAGGGTGACTAGCTCGAGCGTAGAAATGCGGCCCCGACGCCGAGACGGCGAGCTCGTCCGAGTCGTGCAGAAAATGACCCAAGCGACATCAAGCCTACTCGAGGGAGACGACAGGAAGACCCTACCCCTCGGGCGGGAACTCACCACTCCCAGCTGAGAACGGTGAGGACGAGCGAACCGAAGACGACGACCCCGATCGTCATGGCGAAGAACAAGTGATGCCCCGAGACGAAAAACCGGTACGCGAGCCACGCGTCACCCCCGACGTCGAGCAAATACATCACGATGGAGACGACTAAGCAGAAACCGTCTCGACAGTCGAACCGGAGCTTCTCGGGAAGGCCATCGACCTCGTCGGGCAGGCAATCGGCCTCGTCGGGCAGGCAATCGGCCTCCTCGGGCAGGCCATCGACCTCGTCGGGCAGGCCATCGGCCTCCTCGGGCAGGCCAGCGACCTCATCCGCCCCGTTCGAGGTCATCGCTATCCTTACGTCTAAGAGTCTCCTACGAGGCAGGAACTCGACCGCGACCTATGGGGCGAGAGAAGCAGCCAGATGGCATGCGGAATTCATTCCACTTGGCTCGCATCGTTCGGACCACGAAGCGCATATCGATCGATACGTTCCACTTCGAGCGCGACTCGAGTCTCTTACCTACCGAATTCGATCATGCACGTTGCCCTAGTTTCAAGTAACATAAAGTGATGGCGGCACGAGAATTCACTTGGTGTTTTTTTTTCCGCCTCGGTTCCCCTCCGCTCGGGAGAGAGCCTCTAAGACGCACCCAGCCGGAAGATACGACCGAAACGGTCATCCCAAACCGATGAAAACGTTGGAGTCTGCCGAAAGACCCGATGAGACGACGCGAGAGCAGGAACCTCCGATGGACCTCGTCGAGCACTGCTCCCTCGAGACGGCGAGCATCCCTCACGATTCGGCCTTCCGAGACCCTCCCTCGCTCGTCGAACCTCCACCGTTTAGGTCGTCGGAGCCACGCGAGCGTTTCGTGTTTGGGCTAGGCGTAACTCAGACCTCGGCTCGAGACCAGAAAGACCAGATGGTCCTTCGTCTCGATCGTTCCCGGTCGTGGACCCGCCGCCGGCGGAATCCCAGCTCCGATTTCCCTTTCGACCGTGGGGAAATACGGAGGAAAAGCGATTCGTTTCACCGATTCCCCCATTTTCAACTTCCTTTCCGGTCTTCATTTACGGAAAAGACGGGAACACGTAGAGGGTGTTTCGCCTCCGCCACCTTAGTCCGATGCCGTTTTCGTGCAATAATATTCCAGGGACGTCATCCGCAGCTTCGACGACCGCGATCATTTTCGCCGTCTCGTTCAGAGACGTGCGCATGTCGTTTCCATTTCATCGAACACCTTCGTGTGTTTCCGCCATACTTTTTTTTCATATTTGAGCCATGAAAAAAATTTTTAGTCGTCACGTCGGTGCAGCGTTTTCAGCATTACATTAAAAACAAAATTAAATTCAAAATTTTCAAATATGATACAGATGATATGCGGTGAGCACGCGATATGGAATTCTCATCCGAATAAAACAATTGTAAACGCGCTCTCGAGGATGGTCCTCTTCCGTATCTCATTTTATTTACTCGATAACATGGGTGGGAAAAAAATCAGGGGAGTCATACTTAAAGATAGCTCATATCCGTGGCGACTTGCTGGAAAACGATGAGGGAAATCCAAGTGCTTTACTTCCACGGAATCGATATTGAGTCTTCTCGAGCACGAATCTACAACCTATACTTCTCAGGAATGGATTAGTTGATGAAGCTGAAGTGTCCGAATTGGAAAAAATGTTGAGAATCTGCCTCATCCTACTACTAAGGGAGATGGGTGATTGCAGCGTATCTCCTGCCGCAACCAGATAAACATTATCTGCAATTTTGATTTTTTTTCTCGCGTTCATGTTTGAGTGGAGTCATCCGTGTTTCATCACCACAGGTCAAGCACCACGTCGAGGGCAATGTGAGACGGTGACACACCACATGTGTATTGCGAAATCGGCGAGGACCGTCTCGGCGATGAATTGTTTTTGTCGATTCCTATACTTCCCCAAGCCTATTCTTCCCAGCCATATGTTCGTCGATGAAGCTGAAGTGCCCGAGTTGGGAAGCATCTTCACAACGTGCCTCATCCCAAAGCGCGAATATGCAAGAGAGCTAAATGACTCATGCGACCAGAGTAGACACGAAACATTCATGGATCGGCATCTAGAGTCTGAGCAATTCGACGCTTTCGTTCACGCCCGTTGCAAGTCCCTAAATTGAACTAGAACCTCATTTTGCCACGTGGCATCCTGGAGGTGGCTGTCCTCCACCCGGCAGGTGCATCGCGTTCTCCCTGCGCCAACATCTCTCTCTTGGGTCCAGAGTCTGGACCCGCATGGCGCTGTCATCCGCATCGTTCCAGCAATCATCATTATGATCGATTCATCACTGGAGACGCACGAATCCAGCAGATACGTAGAAATGTTAATACACCTAACCATTTTCTACCAGATTCGTCGACCCCCAAAGAGAGAAATCCGTCTTTTATCCTTCAAGATATTGACCTTTTTTTAACGTTAAAGAACTTTTGGGCCTTGAAGCCTTCAGTAGGAATCCCAAATTCTTTAACTTCGTGTCGACTGTGGTAACAGGGTGTATCTCTGAACCTAGCGTGATATAGTAGCTTGAATGGGGTAAAATGACCTTTGAATTTATAAATAAAAACGTTGCCCTACTTGCAGCGAAAGCATTACTGCAGTCCTTATATGCCAACACGACCTCAAGGAAAGATGTCTCCAAATCTAAAGCCTTCCCTAAGAAGGGATATTGACAAATCCAAAATTGGATTTTCAAGAAAGTACTTGGGATTCCATGGAATGCATTCATTTTTCCCGTGTGACGACCTTCATTTCTTTTTTGCACCTCTGCATGCATCATGTTGCATTCGAGACCTGAAGAACATTACGAAAAAGTGGGAAATGCAAGAACCCCATCGCAAAAACGACAAAACCGCATGAGTTTATTCCGATTCCTTTATTGCCGATGCGATTGCAGTCGACAGTTTAGTGGAAGCAGAAGAAAATTTAATAGTAAAATTTGAAACCCGAGTGTCATTTTTTTTTCGTCCTCGACTCGGACGCATGATTTCGAAAGAAATCTGCTGCTTTTTAGGTACGTTTGTCCAGCGCATCGGTGAACGTATCTCGTCTACTTCTCATATCGTAAATGTAGTTTGACTTGATTTCGCTGTCACCGGAAGAGAGACCCCATGCTCCTCGACGTTACTCTCATTCGAGAGGCATACGGCTGGCCGACCGAATTGCAATCGGCAACGCGAGCCGAGTTCGTCCTTTCGTAATATATGCATGCTTTTCTCGATTCGCCTGTATCTCGTGGATGATTCCACGATGGGCAAATATAGGAAATGCAGCGCTTCGGAACCGATCGAACGTGTTACATGGGACGTAACGTTGCCCTCTATGAAAGAGGATACACTATCACTTTTGCTCCGTTAACCGAAAAAAAAAATAAAATAGAATCAGAGGTGAACGACAGGATGGAATACTCACGCGCGAAGATGACGGGCAGGATGGCCAAGCAAGCCAAAAGGATGTGAAGAACCTTCATTCTTCCCTCGAACTTTCGATAGAAAAAAACTGAAACGTTTTAAAGATGGGATCGTGAGCCGGTCCGTAACGGATTCTATAAGGCTACTGTAGGTGAAGTGGCTTCTGCGCTGTCCGCAGTGAGGGGAGACGAGAGATTGCGGCGTATCTTCCGTCGTAAACCCTCACATACATTATCTCCATTTCTGCTTTTTTTATGTTTGAGCAGAGTCATCCGTGTTTCACGACTACAGGTCAAGGTCCACGTCGACGGGAAATGTCGGTCGGAGACACTCCTCGTGTGATATTCGTTGGGATCGCGGAACACGAGACGATATCGGCAATAATATGACAATAGAATTCACTCGGCCGACTCTGAGGGTCTCGTTTCATTCTCCTTCTACCTCTTATTTTCACTCGAATCCGGATTTGGAAATTTTCCACGATGATGGTTTTGCATTTCACATTTTCCGCAAACGATCAGTGTTTAACATGTTGGACCTTCACTATTGGGCTGGACAGTGAAAGGAAATAAAAGCGAACCATCGCAAAAAGCGTGGCACTTTTCCATGTTTCTCGACGTTCGGTTCCATTCCAAATTTCCTTTTTCTGCCTTAAGGACGGCATACTCAACGTATTCACACAGTCCTACGAGTAAGCGTAGCATAACTCACTCACGTAACGTGTCCATACCTGGATTTATTCCTGCCAGTTCGGTTATCATCGTACAGGAATGCACAGGCTTCACCAGGGACAATTCGTGTATGACATGATGGTAACTAGATTAAAATTAGATTAAACTAGATTTGGCCCACTATTTTCTATTCTCGACTTCGGGAAACACTCAAAACGTAAAACTGAAGTTATTGAAAGTTTAAAGCGCTGAGTTATGGTTATGGTGGCGGAGTTATGTCAGACTCACGATCGACTCAACTTTTTTGTATTGGTGGCTCGGTCTTCTGTTTTTAGGAGAAATGTTACATGTTCGTTTCGAAGTTCATGGAATGATGCGAGAATGAATGAGTGGATAGCGATGGTCGATCGACGGGGTGGGATTCCGAGACATCGCACACGGACATCCCTGACTCGACAGGACGGTCGCTCACAAACACTCCGTGGAAGGACGATGGGCTTTCCGGTTTTTTTTTTTCAAGATTCAAGATAGTGACATCAAGAGGCGATTTCGCCCATTTCGATATCACGTGTCGAGGTCGAGCGTTCCTTAATTT